TTTTTTTCTTATTTTTCATTTCTTTTCTCTCTTTTATCTTCTTCTCTTCTTTCTTCCTTATCCCCTAATTCTCTTAATTCGGGTGGTCACCTTTATTTGGGATTATTAATATCGTGAATATACTTGTGTTCAGTGCCTGGTACGTTGTGCCTTGTTGTGTTGTATTTTGTGCCTTTAAATCAACGCAGCAGATCCAAGCAACAGCAGCCCCCTGATCACCGCAGCCTCCTGATCACCACACCCTCTGTCTGAGGAACAGCAGCTGTACGTGAAGCCTCCCCCCACCAGCCAGAAGAGCCACCACAGCTGCGAACAGCACCCACCAGAGGAGCTGCTGCCAACTGGCAAACAGCTGCTACCGCAACCGTCCGAGCAGCAACCACAACCCAAGGAGCCCCTGCCACCCAGGGAGCAGCCACTGAACGACTCAACATCTACATATGTCAGAGAGATCAAACATGGGTAGATGAAGAAACCCCCAAAGGAAAGAGAAGGAGGACTCGCCAGAAAAGCAGCTAAGTGATACAGAGGCATGCAACATGACAGAAAAAGAATTCAGAATAAGGGTCCTAGAGTACATGCACCGGTCGGAGGAAAAAATCAATGCCATATGCAAGAAGCTAGAAGAATCAGATGAAAAATTCAATACCATATGCAAGAAGCTGGAAGAAACAGATGAAAAAATCAACAGCTTATGCAAGAAGCAAGAAGAAACAGATGAAAAAATCAATAACTTATGCAAGACCCAAGAAGAAATGAAGAGCGATATAGCTGCAATAAAAAACACCATTGAAAGCATCAACAGTAGACTAGGAGAAGCGGAGGACCGAATTAGTGAATTAGAAGACAAGGAAGCAAAACACACCCAAACTGTACTGCAATTGGAGAAAAAAATTAAAAGACAGGAGGAGAGCCTAAGGGAGCTTTGGGACAACATGAAACGAAACAACATACGAATAATAGGGGTGCCAGAACAACAGAAAGATGAACATGGATTAGAAAACCTATTCGAAGAAATAATATCAGAAAACTTCCCTGAGGTGGGGAAGAAAAAAGTCACACAAGCCCAGAGAGTCCCAAACAAGGTGAATCCGAAAAGACCCACACCAAGACACATCATAATTAGATAACATGCCTAAGTTTAACCCAGGTTCCTCATTCCAGACCCGAGGGCTCTAGATAATGTGTTTCTGTCAATTCAGTGATCCTGAGACCCAAAACTATAATTAACATGCTGCTTCTGCTGTAATAAATTGCTTTTTTGCAATCCAGGTTCCTCATTCAAAACCTTGAGATGTAACCAATACCTTTGTGATCTTTGCCTATATACTGGCTTTGCACATGCTGCTTCTGCTTCTGTAAATTGCTTTTTTGCAATCCAGGTTCCTCATTCAAAACCTTGAGATGTAACCAATACCTTTGTGATCTTTGCCTATATAAGTCTGGCTTTGCCACCATCTTGTCACTATGAGATTTGGGAAAGCAAAATGGCCCCTCATAGTCCCGGATTGCAATAAATGTGACTCTTTAATTCGACTTCTTGAGGTGTCCTTCTGTGATTCGCGGGGTACGTTACAACAATATATGTAGCTGATACTAAGACTCTGAAAATTAAATAATTAGTTTGCAAGTAATTTAAAACTTTTATTTAAATAATGACCAATTTACAAGGGCTGTAACTACATTGTTGAAATACCTAAGCTGGTGATATATAACAACTGAATGCAATGAGTGAACCTTAAGTAGATCCTGATTAAACTTAAAACACTCTTGGCTGTTTAACCTCAAGGCAGTCAATAGGATGAAGGAAGTTATATCCGAAGTATGTGACTATCTCAACTTTTGTTGTTCTTCTCTTGTGACTCTGAGTCTGAATTCTCCAAAGAACTAATTTCGAGGGAGGACTGGATTGCAGAAGAGTGGGGACAACATTCACTCAAAGATCTCAATATTTTATTGATGCCATACTCAGCAGTGAGGAATTATATACATTTTGGGAAATCTCTATAATTTTTGACTTGTAAGACCTATCTGCATTTTATGTGTGTGTGATTTGAGGGTGTTATCAATGTTAAAAAAATACTTACATTAACACTATTATGCCCATTTTACAGGTGATACTGAAGCATGGTAGCAATCACCTCGGGTAAAAACTGCTGTTTAATTTTTAACCCTGCTGTTCTGGCTTCTGTACTTATTTGCTTGCTAAAATAATAGAGAAGTTATTTTGATTTTCTGAACTTATATAAATCATCCCATTCAATTGAATACCCCATTGATTGTGGTTTTACTGGTCTTTCAAAACACTTTCCTCCGCACCTGGAGACCAGGACAGCACAATTGCTTTAATTGCTTCCGTGGCTCCAGAAAATGTGTTTCCATTGACTCAGTGGCCCCAAGTCCTGAAACTATAATTAATCTTTGTACATAACTAACTTGCTTATTTTAGCTTCTGTAACAAACTGCTTTTGCAAACCAGGTTCCTCATTCCAAACCTCAAGATGTAATCAATACCTTTGTGATATTTGCCTTTATAAGCCTGATGTTATGGCCAGTTGGGGCTTCGAGATTTGGAGAGCATTTGCCCCCTCGTAGCCGCTGGCTCTGAAATAAATGTGGCTCCTTAATTCGACTTCTTGAGGCGTCCTTGTGTGATGCGAGGGGTACAATACAACAACACAACTGAGGCTTAGAGGGGTTAATCAATTTGCTTAAAGTCACATAACTAATAAGTGGCAGAGCATTTCAATTTAAATCCAGGCAGTTTAGCTCCACAGGTGGTCTTAAACATTAAATAACACACATTTCAAAGGAGTATGTCTAAAGCACAAAAAGCAGAGGTAAGATATAAAAAAACAAAATGAGCTCTCTAAGGTGATGGAATTTGATACATTCTCTTTTTTTTTTCATCAAAACATTATTTCGCCATAGTTGTTTCAGACCATACATGCAGGTACAAAATAAAACTGTTGATGGTCAAAACTATCCCATTCGCTTCCCTTATCTCTGTGTTCTCCAGTCTTCTTGGAGTGGCTTCACTCACTTCTTGGTTTCAGTTCATGTCCTCACCCCTGTTGTCTCTCTCCCTGTTTTTCTTCCCAGCAGGGATCCCCTTTCCCCGGAGTCCTCCACGTTCTCCTGGCCACACTCAGCCTCCCAGCCTAGCTCGCCGGAGCTTTTTACTTCGCTTGCCTCCCCCTCCCCTTGGAAACTCCCCCCTCGGGAGATCCGGACCGAAACGCGGGAGTTGGGGAACGGGCCAGGAAAGCTGCCTCCACAGTGTTTACCAGGCCGCCAACGCGTCCCCGAGCCCTGCCCCCAGCTCCGCAAAGCTTCCTGGAAATGTCCGCGTTATCACTTCCCCCCTGCGGCTGGGGGCTGGGAG